AGAGAATTATAATCCATTTTAAAGCAATGTAACCACAGACTTAGTCATTTCCAAATGACTGGAATAAATCAGTGCTTGAGCGGGTATGTAAATCCTTATCTGCTGAGTCTCAAGTCTAACAGAGCCAGAAAATACAACACATTTTCTCAAAGCGTTACACACCTTAAAAGCACTTAATTTAGCATTTAAAGTACACATATCTCTGAAATTTTTCAAAAGGCATGAAACATACCCAAACAAAAGCATTTTCAGTGCACTGCAGTTTGAGTTTTGCTTTTTTTTTTTTACCAGGACTTATCTTTTATTACAAATTTTAACTAGTGCATCTGTTAGCTGTAGCATATGGCTACCAAACAACAGACAGGGAAATTAGCATAATGAAGAATCATGCTCAAGTACTTTGTCAGGTAATTCTATAAACAAAGCAGGTAAAAATCTTACACCTTCCTCCCCAGAATCCCAGTTTTTAGAAAGCATGAGAATATATCCTGTGAATTATTTTCAGATGTTTCTTTGTACTTAACATTACATTAATGCTGGTCTTTTCACTATTATTAACATTTTCAAGATTATATATGGAAATTTACTGCATTATTTGTACCAGGAAAAAAAAAAAAAACACACAACAGTGCAGCTGCCAAATAATGTAAAATTTAATCTTTGTACTTCTTTGAAGCGATCTGTTCTTTCTGACAACCGCCAATGTAAATATAACCTTGTTCTACCCTTTCTGATCAGTGTACCTACTGAACATAATATTATATTCTTTCACATCCTCAACAATATTTGCTTTCAGTGGAAATTATAATTGCGTGCTGCTGAAAGATCGAAATCTTTTATTATAACGCAATGATTCAAAACCCACCAGGAAACACACCAGCTCGAGGTAATTCTGTGTGAGCAACCAAGAAGAATTTTCGTGCTAAGACCTCACAAAATCCCATTTCAATCTGATTTAAACACGTGTTGCAAATGTCAACACAAACTGCCATGACCCAGTAGACTAATACTGAGCACTAAAAGGAAAACAAATCTTGTACTATATATAGGTTGACTGAAATGCTGTTAAATGAAGTTTGCATCAAGCTGTTTTCAAAATGAAAGAGAACAGAACTAATATTTTCAAATACTTGGTAAACTTGTCGTCTACTCTAATTTTGGTAAAATTGCTGTGGAATTACTTCTAGTTCACAATGAAAAATAGGCTGCTACATGCTAGGCTGAGAAACAGATGTGTCCAGATATCAGCTACTAATCTGACCTCCTCAGAGAGCCATGGCCTCTCACAGACTCCCTCTCAGGTTCTTGAGGGGGCTGGCTGGGGGACTTGCGTATCCCTAACAGCCTTGGAAAAAATTTCAGTTTCAACTCATATTATTTTCCTGCAGTTTTCTCAGAAGTGGAGAGAATGCCTTAAGAAGGTGACATGCATAGCAGTCCATCAGAACATGTACTGTCATGCCTGACTACTGGAGCTTCATTGTACATTCAGTTGGAGAAGTCCAGTCCCAACAGTGCAATTCATTTTGCCATTCTGGGCTCCATTTTGCCTCAGACATTTGCATCTAAACTAGCTGGCTCTACTTCTAGAGATTGAACACTTGGGAGACCTTCATGGGTGCCACTCATCTGATCTTTTCAGAGGTCTACTTTATGATGAGAGACGTTGTGCCTATGAAGAACCTACTTTTCTCTGTATCCCAGAAAGGAAACCTGGATGAATAGCTCAGGTATAAGACTCCCAAGTTGGTGAAATTATTCCTTCTTTCCAATTTTTAAGATGTTGTTCTATAAAAGAATCATTTTTTAACAGCCAATAATATGTATGCCCTTTTCTATTAGATGGCCATAAAAGACATAACGATCACTCTCCAAGCCCCAAAATACAAACAACCCCTTCCAACACTGACTTCATAAAAAACAGCCAGCCCGGATGATGCTTAGCCAATTCTTTTGACACACTAAAATTTATTCTGCTGTGGACAAATCTTAAAACTATGATTATCAATATGTTGCAAAAGAAGAAGCGCTAACAGCGTAATGATTAGAGGGAAGAGAAGAGATTGATGCTGAGATTATCTTCAAGTAGATTTAATTTTCCTCTTACATAAAAATGGCAAATCATAACAAAAAGACTCCAACCCTGGCTATTACAAAATAAATAAAAGAAGCATAATGAACTACAGTACATTTGGATGTATTTTAGTGCAGCTCAACACAGTCTTAATCAAATCTCACTCAAAACTTGTTACACATTGCATTCATTTAGACTCCACATGGTTTGTTTCAAATACGTAGGAGGACTCGAAATTGTTCTGGCAATAGTGATGTCAAATGACCTCCTACCCAGTAGTTCAAACTTTTGATAATACAAACATTTCAGATTTCTCACATCAGTAGTCTACTGCATTGCTATTCTCCCATCATTGACATCAAAAGCAGACACTAGCAGAATTTGCTTTTGCAAGGGAAGGACGAAGAGTAACTGAGGTCATTGCTGAAGAACTACTGTAGTAAAACGATCATGCCCTCATGAAATATATAACTACAGATTTTAGAGTAGACAACTCCAAAAGAAACAGACACTGATGGTATTTCCATGTTTTAACCTCTTACTCTACACAGATGTGTTAAGATTGGTCACGTCTCCCTCTAAACTCCATTAAAATATATCAAAGCAAGATCAGCTTTGATATATTTTAACTACTCAGCACTTCAGTCTAAATGATTTAGTAAGATGTCCACAAGGTCTGATGGTTGCAGTTTTAAAATTTAGGAGTGTATTTCATACGTACAGCCCAACTCCTATTTCAGCTCAGTCTCTCCCAAGCCTAAGGCAACTGCATAGCTTATCTTCTCTGCTTTGAAGTTGTCTTTCACATTACAGCACTGTGGTTAACCACACCCTTATGAGAGATGGTTAGCTATAACCTACAATCATTGAAAATTGGGAGAAGAATAAAGCCTGTGGCAAAACTTGGCCTCTGCTCCCTTGCTGCACTAATTATTTTGGGTCCGTGTAGTTTGAGTTAACATGCGCCGCCATTCACATCAGCTTTTAGGACTTATGCATATTTCTTATACTTTCAAAGAGACATATAATCATATCTGAAGATTTTTACAGCCTCTTCAAATCATAATTATTCCATGAAGTACAATTTGAGGCATGGAAAAACAGATTTTCATACTGCATTGGAGCACATGCATGTTTATTTACGCATTCAATTGGTTTGATTACCATGTATGCACACAGCTGAGTACCACTGTCTGCAACATAACACAGCGTTAACAATCCAAGAACACAACTTCACATGTATTTTGCAGGAGGACTTCTTCAGAGACCCAAAGGGCAATGTGACTGCATCAAAAGTGCAGGAGAAGCACACTCCAGGATATGTTCCACGGTCTCATTTCCCAGATGATCCAACCCAGTACTTTTCACACTGCAATTCACTTTCTGCCTATGCACCTGGGTTTCTTTCCAGTCAGGGAGTGCCAAGGGAGAGAGGGAGGGATGGTGCACACCTGAATCCTGTTCAGACCTGCAATCAGCACACAACTGGACCTGGAAGGGACACCTGGGTTACATATCTTTAAAGGAATTTGTAATCCCTAATACCATGAAGTCCTCGAATGGAGAGGGTCTGCAAGGGCTATGTGGCAAAAGCAAAATGACAGAGGAATCAAGTTCTTCTCAAACTGTATTTCCCCTCTAAAGAAAAAAAAACCAAACAACCAAGCCTCTTGCACAAAGCACTGTTCGCTCATTTTTAAACTGCTCCTGTTATCCATATTTGTGACTATTTCTGTATTTTGTAGATTATCAAAAGGGTAATAAAACAGGGGTCACTTCAGAAAATGTTAAAAAAAGGTTTCATAAAGCCTTTGTGTTGTTTTTATTTTTTTAAATGGAAACAAATGCCAAGAGAATCTAATTCAAATGACAAAAAAAAAAAAGTACATTGTGTTTTCTAATTAAAGACTAGTCCAAACAGGAATCTTGTCTGTAACTCCACTGGATGGCAGGTCAGATCCTTTATCTTCCCTAATCAGTACATCTATGGAATCATGTGGGAGGAAGATGAAAAGCTAGGGTCATATCCAAACACAAAAGGAAGACAATAGACAGCTTCTGAGAAGAAAACAGTAACAAAGAAACTGTATAAATGAAATGCACTTGTGAAGTTATCCGTTATCAAACAGTCAATAAATATGGCTACTTTACCGTGAGGTACGGAAGCACTTCACGGGTCAGGCTGCATATGTGCATCGAAAAGTCAGACTGGTACAAGTGCATTTCTTTATATAAAAAAAAAAAAAAACGCCTGAAATAACAGCCTATGGAACCTAAGGTTTTTGAAACATGGCACTAGTAAGCACAGAAACTGGACTGTTTCCCTGAAGAAGAGTAAAATCAACAAGCTTTTAAGTTTGGTGGAATCTGTCTTTAATCAGGAATCTGGTCATCTGCTATGGAAGTGCAGTTTTGCAACTGATGAAAACCAACAAAAGATGGAAATCAAGTATTCTGCAACATCTGTAATGAAAAGGAAAAAATGCAGCAAAAGGAGTCAGGAGCTGATTGAACCTAAACAAATTAAAGAGGAAGTAATTGTTCTTACTTTTCTCCTTACATTTTCAATTTTTGTAATAAATACAGAGCAGCTAAGTATAAATATGTAACAAACTTTTCCATCACGCCTGTTCTATGATTTAACTTCAAATAATCCCAAACAAGCAATCAAACTATCAACTTGTCAAAAGACCTGAGTCACCTCAATTTCATTTTTCAGGGAGTCATTCAAGCATGCTTGTTTACGTTTTGCACTGTCTACAAACGAACATCACCATATGAACAGGCGAGGAATCTGCTAATGAATTCTGCTTGGTTTTATGATCTTGAATATCTTTTAAAATTTCTGTTTAAAGTAATATTAAAGAAATACAGAGAATAGAAGTGAAATTCAGAATACAACAGTGACCAGGGAGATAATCTGAAGCAAGGAAGGTGTACCCATGATGGAAGACGATCAGATCCAGGAACACTTAAGCAAACTGGACATATATCAGCCCACAGGCCCTGATGGGATGCACACATCAGTGCTGAGAAAGCTGGCAGCATCAAAAGATGACTCAGTAATCTTATGGCCACCAAGAGAAGTGCCAAAAGACTATGAAAAAAAGCAAACGTCACTCTTATCTTCAAGAAGAGCAAGAAGAAGAACACAGGGAGATACAGCCTGGTCAGTCTCACCTCAATCCCTAGGAATGTCATGGAGCAGCTAATCCGGGAAACCATTTTCCAGGCTCATGAACAACAAAAAAACCCTCAGGAATAGTCACCATGGATTCATCAAGGGCAAGTCATGCTTAACCAACTCGATAACCTTATATGATGAAACAATTGGACTGGTAGATGAGGGGAGAGCCATGGATATTGTCTACCGGGACTTCAGCAAGGCTTTTGATACTGTCTCCCGGAAGATCCTCACAAAGAAGCTGTTGATGTATGGGCTGCATGATCAGACAGGGAGGTGGATTAAAAACCGGCTGAATGGCCAGGCCCAGAGGGAGGTGATCAGTGCTGCGAAGTCTAGCTGGAGGCCAGTGACTAGCTGTGTACCCCAGGGGTCAATACTGGGTCCAGTCCCATTTAACATCTTCATTAATGATCTGGATGATGGGGCAGAACTCAACGAAAAGAAGGACAAAGTCCTGCACCAGGGGAGGAACAACCCCAGGCACTAGTATATGCTGGGGGCCACCCAGCAATAAATCAGTTTGGACAAAAAAGACCTGGGGGTCCTGGTGGACACCAAGTTGAGCATAAGCCAGCAGTGGGCCCTCGCTGCAAAGAAGGCGAATGGCATCCTGGACTGCATCAGACAAAGTATCGCCAGCAGGCTGAGGGAGATGATCCTTCCCCTTTACTCAGCACTGGTGAGGCCACACCTGAGGCCTCGGCACAAAGAGAGACATGGACATACTGGAGAGAATCCAACAAAGGCCTGCTAAGATGATTGAGGGGCTGGAGAACTCTCCTACTATGAAAGGTTGGGAGAGCTGGGACTGTTCAGCCTAGAGAAGAGAAGGCCCAGGGGCATCTTCTTAATGTATATAAATACCTGAAGGGAGGGTGCAAAGAGGACGGAGCTATTTGCAATTGTGCGCAGTGACAGGACCAGAGTCAACAGGCACAAACTGAGAACACTGGAGGTTTCCTCTGAACATCAGGAAACATTTTTTCCCTGTGAGGGTGACGAAGCACTGGCACAGGTTGCCCCTAGAGACTGTGGAATCTCCCTCCTTGGAGATATTAAAAAAACATCTGGACAGAGTCCTGGGCACCCAGCTCTAGGTGGCCCTGCTTGAGCAGGGGAGTTGGACTAGATGACCTCCAGAGCTCCCTTCCAGCCTCAACTAGTCTGTGATTCTGTAATTCTATGAAAACATCTCAAAAACTTCTGCCACTTTTCGTAAATCATAGTCTGCACTTTTATAACCAGAATCATAGAATGCTTTGGGTTGGAAAGGACCTTAAAGGTCATCCGGTTCCAACCCCCATGTCATGGGCAGGGACACCTTCCACTAAATCAGGCTGCTCAAAGCTTCATCCAGCCTGGCCTTGAACACTTCCAGGGTATCACTCATGCTAATGCTGACACAGAGGAGTTACCGCTGTCTGGTTCTCCTATTACATGAGAACAAACACAGAACCACAGAATGTTAGGGATTGGAAGGGACCTCAAAGGATCACCTAGTCCAATCCCACTGCCGGAGCAGGACCACCTAGATCAGATCACACAAGAACGCGTCCAGGTGGGTTTTGAACATCTCCAGAGAAGGAGACTCCACAACCTCTCTGGGCAGCCTGTTCCAGTGTTCTGTTACTCTTACTGGGAAGAAGTTCTTCCTCATGCTTAAGCAGAACCTCCTGTGTTCCAGCTTATATCCATTTCCCCTTGTCCTATCATTGGATGCCACTGAGAAGAGCCTGGCTCCATCCTCATGACAGTCACCCTTTACATATTTATAAACATGAATGAGGTCCCCCCTCAGTCTCCTCTTCTCCAAGCTAAAGAGACACAGCTCCCTCAGCCTTTCCTCATAAGAGAGATGCTCCACTCCCTTAATCATCTTTGTGGCCCTATGCTGGACTCTCTCAAGCAGTTTCTTGTCCTTCTTGAACTGAGGGGCCCAGAACTGGACACAATATTCCAGATGCGGCCTCACCAGGGCAGAGTAGAGGGGGAGAACCACCTCTCTCGACCTACTAACCACACCCCTTCTAATACACCCCAGGATGCCATTGGCCTTCTTGGCCACAAGGGCACAAAACACACCATCAGGTGCACTACAGTTACTGACATTAAAGTGACACACAGTTCAGTGGTTTATAGATTTGGTGATTTAAAGAAAATAAATTAAAAAATCAAACTGCGTATCTTTTATATAATTATTTCAGTCGTATATTAAAAGATCCCATTATTCCACCATTAACATCAAGTTCACTGCCCTGCAGTATGCACAACTATTCCTTAAACACAGCTTTCTGTCTTCTTCAAACCCCAGGCTGCACAGCTATCACCTCTTCATCACTCACCATTGCTCCTGACGACCCACTGAGGAGCTATCTGCACTAAATGAACAGAAGACTATAAGCATGAGGACTATGAATATTGAAATGCCTAAAACACCTAACTACTGCATTGCAAGAGCTAAACATGTTTGCCTGCTTTCACTGTACCTTGTCAGACTTCATCATATTCGGATTTCCTTTAAAATAACCTTCGAATTTCCTAGACTATGATTCCACTTTTTCAGGTTAATTTCAGTAGCAAGTTTTATCCAAAGTAACTGATGCATACTCTCAACCCCAAGCTGATTGTACCATGTTTCATGGTGTTCTCTCACATGCAAGGGGGAAAGTCAGTCGTATTTCCATGGATATTATAATCATAGAATCATAGAATGGTTAGGGTTGGAAGGGACCTCAAAGATCATCTAGTTCCAACCCCCCTGCCACGGGCAGGGAAATCCTCCACTACACCAGGTTGCCCAAAGCCTCATCCAACCTGGCCTTGAACACTTCTAGGGATGGGGCATCTACAACCTCTCTGGGCAACCTGTTCCAGTACCTCACCACCCTCAATGTAAGGAATTTCTTTCTTATATCTAACCTAAATCTGCCCTCTTTCAGTTTAAATCCATTGCCCCTTGTCCTATCACTACACACCATTGTAAAAAGTCCCTCTCCAGCTTTCCTGTAGGCCCCCTTTAGGTACTGGAAGGCTGCTATAAGATCACCCCGGAGCCTTCTCTTCTCCAGGCTGAACAGCCCCAACTCCCTCAGCCTGTCTTCATAGCAGAGGTGCTCCAGCCCTCTGATCATCTTCGTGGCCCTCCTCTGGACTCGTTCCAGTAGCTCCATGTCCTTCTTGTGTTGGGGACTCCAGAGCTGAACACAGTATTCCAGGTGGGGTCACACGAGAGCTGAGTAGAGGGGCAGAATCACTTCCCTCGACCTGCTGGCCACGCTCTTTTTGATACAGCCCAGGATACGATTTGCTTTCTGGGCTGCCAGCGCACATTGCCGGCTCATGTTGAGCTTCTCATCCACCAGCGCTCCCAAGTCCTTTTCCTCAGGGCTGCTCTCAATCCATTCTCCGCCCAGCCTGTACTTGTGCATGGGATTGCCCTGACCCATGTGCAGGACCTTGCACTTGGCCTTGTTCAACTTCATGAGGTTCTCACAGGCCCATCTCTCCAGCCTGTCAAGGTCCCTCTGGATGGCATCCCTTCCCTCCAGCGTGTCCACAACACCACACAACTTGGTGCCATCTGCAAACTTGCTGAAGGTGCACTCAATCCCACTGTTCATGTCACCAACAAAGATGTTAAACAGCACTGGTCCCAGTACCAACCCCTGAGGAACACCATTCGTCACTAGCCTCCACTTGGACATTGAACCCTTGACCACAACTCTTTGAGAGCGACCATCCAGCCAATTCCTTATCCACCGAGTGGTCCATCCATCAAAACCATGTCTTTCCAGTTTAGAGACAAGGATGTCGTGTGGGACAGTATCAAATGCTTTGGATAAGTCCAGGTAGGCGATGTCAGTTGCTCTTCCCCTATCCATCAACACAGTAACCTCATCATAGAAGGCCACCAAATTAGTGAGGCAGGATTTGCCCTTAGTGAAGCCATGTTGGCTGTCACCAATCACCTCCATCCACAGATAATAATAGTCCATCCACAGATTAATTTTGCAAACTTTATTTAAATAATGTTTGATTCAAGGGAGCACATTGCCAGCAACTTCAACATAGCCTCTAGGACATTTCAGAGACATTTCATGCTCGGTAAAATTAAAAACATATCCCAGAAACAGAAGAGATGATAAGCATAACTTGTGTTTAAAAACACTTTTTCCTTTCTCTACCATATGACTTACAATATTATAATAATTGGATTTGCTTTTAAAGATCGATGTTCCTATCTGGCAACTACTTCCCCACCTGGAATACTGCATTCAGCTCTGGAGTCCCCAACACAAGAAGGACATGGAGCTGTTGGAACAAGTCCAGAGGAGGACCACGAAAATGATCCGAGGGCTGGAGCACCTCTGCTATGAAGACAGGCTGAGAGAATTGAGGCTGTTCAGCCTGGAGAAGAGAAGGCTCCCGGGTGATCTTATAGCAGCTTTCCAGTATCTAAAGGGGGCCTACAGGAAAGCTGAAGAGGGACTTTTTACAATGGTGTGTAGTGATAGGACAAGGGGCAATGGATTTAAACTGAAAGAGGGTAAATTTAGATTAGATGTAAGGAAGAAATTTTTCACTCTTAGGGTGGTGAGGTACTGGAACAGGTTGCTCAGAGAAATTGTGGATCCCTTATCCCTGGAAGTGTTCAAGGCCAGGTTGGATGAGGCTTTGGGCAACCTGGTGTAGTGGAGGGTGTCCCTGCCCACGGCAGGGGGGTTGGAACTAGATGATTTTTGAGGTCCCTTCCAACCCTAACCATTCTATGATTCTAATCCACAATTTTAGGCTACAGTTTTTTGAGTTTCCAAACACAGACTCTTCAAGAACAGTAAAGAAAAGCAAGTTTGCAAAGCCATGCTGAATGAAAAGTAACCCTGTAGATCACAAGCATAAATAGACTAATCTAGAGAATATATAGTTGCTTAATATACGATGAGTTTAAGGAGAGCAGAGGTTATGGCCTCAAATATAAACAGATGGGTCAAAGAACTGAAATGTTCTAATTATGAAACTTTGCCAATCTCATGATGAAATACAGACACATTACTACTGTCTTCCTTATCTGTAGAAAAAAACCCCACAACTTCCAGTCTACCAAACTGGAATGAACAGAGGCCAATGAACCAATATTAAGAATTTCAGAGAGAATTGAAAGATGCTCCATCAGACGAAGTATTTACCAAGTGCTTGTATCAGAAACAGCGACACTAATGCAAAAGTGTTTGGTTTGAATACTGCAACATTACACAGGAGAGTCTTTATCCTGATCTCATTGATAGATTTGAGATAAAGTCAGGAGTTTCTCAAACGTGTTTCATTCTCCTGACATTTTTTTTAAATATATGAAGTATAGTATTTTTGGTATCACTGTGAATGATCTTTAAAAGTTATTTTCCAGATTCAAAAGGCAAATATGGTACTGAGAGGAATAGTCAACGATGTTTCTTTATTACTGTCTTCAGACTTCTATTTCATGAGAGT